TTATTCGTAAAAGTGCCTGGAATAGTATGCATAAGTTCTTGGAATCGTTAAAAAAAAGTTTCTGGAATAGTGAGAAAAAAGTTCCTGGAATAGTAAGAAAAAGTTTCTGGAATAGGTCGTAAAAGTTCCTGGAATAGTAAGAAGAAGTTTCAGTTTTGAGCCAGCTCTCAGTTTTGTTCAGCAAACGCTTTATCTATATAGAGACAAGAGAGTTTTAAGATGAACTGTTTGCAGCAATTAGATAATTATCTGTATCTAGGAGTTAATCTACTTTCTTTCGTCTGGAAAAAGAACACAAGCTAGTTCCAGAAATCAGTTGGATGCTAAGGCCAGGGCAAGACTCTAAAAGACCTCTTCTTCTCAAGAAGCATAAAGAATCTTTATTTGCTAGGCCGAGACCTGAAGCTATCTGATATGACTTATTTATGTTTACCATGGGAGAGTCCTTGGCTGGTTCCATAAATCAGTTTCAATAAAGAGTCTATATCTTTTTAATGAGGAGATTGTGTGTAGCTGACAGACATAAGAATGATTCGGTATGAAGCAGTTTTTATTTATATTTATTATTATTATATATTTATACGTTTTCTTTGAGTTTCCCAAAACTCGTTTCGATGCCGCGCTTTTAAGATCTGAAGAAGACATCACTCCGCAACTGTCAGTGGGGCGTGTCCAATAAATTTGTTTCGGGCGTTCGTTCATGTAGTTTTGGGGCGCCAAGTTGTGTAGTCTTTAAGTTTTGTTCATCTTCTATAATTTTGTTTTTATTTATTTATTTTTTTTTTTGTGACTGTTGTGCCAAGGCAAAAGCCATCATCTTGATCGAGCTGAAGATCATGAAGAGCGCGCAGAACCGCAACGAATGGATCGAATATGAACAAATCTTGATCGGGCTGACAAGCTGCTGAAAACGCTTAACGTTTTCATTAATTCGAAAATTACCAGCAAAAATCATTTGTCAGACAGAGAACATCGGGCCGTGCCAGCATCTTGTGTCAAAACCTGACCAAAAACTGAAAGAGATTCGTTTGCAGTTAACACAAAAATATGAATGTCAAACACGGCATTCGCTTTGGGTTATTAGGCATTAACGAAACATTCAAATCAACATTAATGATTTCCATTTATAAGCTGCGCATCCGGTCGGATTCGGTTTTTTATTTTTTCTTTAAGTCTAAGTACTGTTACGAATTGTACATTGAAAATTGGCAACAGCGCACAGTTGTTAATCTCTGGCATCGAGATTTGGCAACAGCTGTGACACTTTGTAGCCAAGCTGTGCTGTTTTTTAATTGAGGAAATTTGGTAACAGCGCTGCTCAATGAAAGAATATCAATCTTTCTATGTGAAAACTGGCAACAGCGCAATTTGGCTATTAAATACTTTAAAGAAGTGTGCTACTCGGCTTTTTTCAAACATTTTCAGATACGAAAATCCAAATCAGAGCGTAATTTACATGCTGAAAATCGGCAACAGCGCGCCAGTAAACTCTTACCGTTGCTTATGAAATCTGGCAACAGCGCAAAATGAAAGGAATGGAAAAATGCTTTTGCCCCAACTGGCATCAATCGTTGACTATAGAAAGCAGTCCAAAATGTTTTGGTATTTTCATGAGTGAAATCCGGCAACAGCGGCAACTTGCCGTGCTGAAATTCGGCAACAGCGCGCCAGTAAACAGACAGCTAGAAAAAGATATTGATTATCGACAATATTTTCGAGCATATCGTAAATGAAGAAATATGAAGATTCGCTTCAAAAATTGAACAGCTACGCAAAAACATTGCCCGGCTGAGATCTGCATCCGAAATGAGGCGCAGATCGATCCGAACAGGCAATGAGCGGCGCTTGATAAATGTGATAAGAGCCCAAAACGGAACGACTAATTAAGCGAAGGTTAACCGAGACATGCATTAACATAACGAACCGACTGCCAAATAATATCAACAACTAGCTGCCGCACACCGAGCACTGAAGAGCTTCAAGCTACGACCAAAAACCTGTGGCCCATTTGTCAAAAAAAAAAAAAAAAACAAACTGGGCCTAAAACATGGCCCATGCGTTGGCGTTCTTTCCAGCCATTCAGTTCGTGGACGTAATTCGATTAGCTCGGCATGTTATCAAATTCAGGAAGAGCGGTCGCATCTCTATGGAGGGGGGGGGGGGGGTTAGGGGAGGGGAGGGGCGCCGAGGGGAGCCACTTTGAAACTCTTCAGTTCTGAAACAGGTATTTGAAATGGACACCCAAATCGAACAACGCGGATCGTCACGCATATATTAGCGCTTCCATGCATGTTTTCCAATAAAAGTAAAAAAAAAAAAAAAAAAAAAAAAAAAAAAAATAATTAAATAAAAAATAAAAATATTGTACGCCTTATAAAAAATGAATATATATAGTATGTATATATATATATATATATGTGTGTGTGTGTGTGTGTGTGTGTGTGTGTGTGTGTGTGAGAGACGCACACAGTCAATAAAAATCATTAAACCTAAACGCGTATGCTAATTTGATGATGGCGGTTTTCTAATTTGTTGTTTTCTACGCACACACACACACACCTGCATATATATATATAGATATAGATCTATCTGGGCAGCAAACGAGATTTCTATGGCCCTACAATGAGCCACAGTTCGGCCCAAAAACAGTTACATCTTGGCGGATTATCGGCTCAAAGTGATCGCTAGCTGGAGGCTGCCCCAGCAACCCAGCAACCCAAAACAAGCTGTCTGTGTGTGTGTGTGTGTGTCGCCAAAGAAAACAGTGCTCGACTAGGGGAATACCCTGCAAAACAGCGCCTGCGCCAGCACACAGCTTGGGCTCGATTTAAGCCTTATTTCTTTGCCTTTTTATGGATCTTACAAGAGATTTTCTTTACTCGCGATCTGAACCGGTTTTGGAATATGTGAGCGAATTCTTATAGTATTGATAGTTCCATATTCTTACCTGCCGGGTTCATCTGATTCATTTCAGTTTGTTTCTGCGATACAAACCCAAATATGTTCAAATTATGCAAATCTATTGTCTCTAGCTCGGCTAAACTCTGAGTTCCCATAGTTAGTTATATGGAAAGTGATATATTTTCTGCCTGCTAAACTAAAACATATATGTGATCTACCTGAACAGGAGCTCACATGCCAAGCTTGGTTGTCCTAGCTTGCCTAGACTCTAAGTACTCATAGATCATAAGTATAGCATATCGTTGAGTTCTTAAGAAAGTGAGATTGTAGATTGTAAATAGGTTTTGTTTTTAGCTTTGAGAGTCTAGAGAACTCCGAGTTCGTATAGCCTGTTTGACAATTATCATTACAGGGTATGGCAATACGCAACGCGTTGACAACGGGCGACGTTCTCGCCATGTCCGCATCGGGCTGGGTGCTGTTGCGGTTCGTTGTCCGGTTCGGTTGGGTCTTCTTTTTTTTTTCTATTTCTCTTTTTTTTTTTATATGTCTTCTTTTTTTTATATTTCGTTTTTGTTTTTTTTTGCGTGCGCGCGATACACGCTGCGACGCCGGCAGCGTCGCTGTGAGCTTATCAAAAGACCATATATAAGGAAACAAGAAGTGGCAGCGTTTGTATTTATTTGTTAGAACCTGTGCACAACGCACCTCTCGCTGCGATTCTCACAGTTTCAACTTGCCGTTCGACTTGGGATACCCATATTTTGCCACAACAAACATGAAGAGTTTTGTAAGTTGATTGTAAAATGCAAAAGACAATAAATAAATAAGTAAATAAATAAATAAATATTAATAGAACCAAGCGAATTTCGAGTGATAAGTGTTTAAATACGAATCTATTTAATCAAATCAAATAAATAAACGGCACGTTCTAAAACATAAAACCTAAATCCTGGAGTTGTAAACATTTTTTTTTATCGTGCCATCGCCTAGACAATAAAACCGCAAAAGTGAACGAATGTGTGAGCAAGTGTGACCATTTTTCTTAAAGGCACAAAAAGAAAACTCTAAAAAAACGGTGTGGCCATATCATCATCAGCATGAAATTACAAGATCCTTTTTGTAAAGGCAAGCTTTGAATTTCTTTTATTAAAAACGAATTTGATTGAAAGCCAACTTTAAACAAGATTAAATTCTTTGTATTTTTTAATTCTGGCTTTATTTTTTTTTTTTTGGTATTTTTGCCGGCTCGCTAATATTAACATGGCCAGCCAGTTGCGTATTTCCTCTTCAATCTTAAAATCGAACTTTGGCTTTTTGTTTTTTTTTTTGGTTTTTTTTCTCTGCACTTTGCCAGCGCCCGGCTTAGCTCCTGCTTCCAGGCGCTGCTCTCTCGCTCTCTCACACACATTCCAGAAGCTGACGCGCTCTGCTACTGTTAACCAGAATGAGATAAGAACACATTAACAGCAAGAGAGCCAAAGAGAGCGGAGGTTAAACATTAAAACGGTTTAAGCGCAGATCAAATAAATCAAAGCCCATTAGCAACAACAACAACAACAACAACAACAAGAACAGCAGCAGCAGCAAAGCTGAACGAAACGCGCGAGACAAAGCGTCGGCAGCCAAGGCGACAGCGACAAAGACGCTAAGAAAACGCTAGCAAAACGCGCGCGCACGCTGCCGCTGTGATTAATTGCTGCGATTTTAAACGCCTGTCGTTGTAGCTGTTGTTTTTGTTGCAGTGACAATAACAGCAAAAAATATATGAATTAAAACATTAAATGCATAAAACAACACGCGTTTGACACTTGGCACAGAGCACAAGCCCGTGATTTATGCAGCGATCGTTTAAATAAAATAAATAAAAATACAAAAAAAAAAAAAAAACAAATAACATGGCACACATTTCCATATGCCGTTTTTTTTTTTTCGTCTTCGCCTTCGTCTTCTTCTTCTTTGTGGCTGTTAAGTGACAGCGTCATTTAAGCTCGCACGCAAAACGTGAACACACAAATCATCCAATCAAACTAATCGCATAATCTTCTTCTTCTCTCTCGCCCTCTATACCTGTCTCGCTCGCTCGCTCGCTCGCTTAGCTGGTTTTGTGCTTTGCGGCGCTGGCGCTCGCCGATGTCAAGCATCTGACAGATCGCAATCTGGACCTGTTCAAATACAATCCCGGCGATATCTATACCCTGCCCGAGGACATCGATGACGACAAGCCGGCCGTGCAGTTCAGCGGCGATGTGATGAAGGCCAAGACCGAGAAGCTGCAAAACATAAATTCCGGCAAAAAATATAAACTCGAGTAAGTGTCAGTCGATGTCAGTCGATTAATTATCGATAACAGCTTTAACAAATGCCAGTGGAAACAATTTAAATGCGCTTCACGAACATTAACAGATTGTTTGTCATTTCGACATCGTTTCAATTTTTGTTGTTGTTGTTTTTCAAGCCTCAAGTAATTTTACGAATGTAACTTCAAATTCATATTAAAGAGTTATCATTACTTAAGAATTATTTATTTTCGGAATGAAACCAGGCTCTTCTCAATTGCGTAGCAGTGAAAACGATTTGTAATCGATTCGGACTCAGGAACACCGAAACGAAAACAAGTCGAAATGAATCCGAATCTAGTTAACTGGCAATTATATCTATAGCATGCAAAAGTATTTCTGAATGAAATTCAAATACTTTACTCCGATAACGATTAATCGATTAAAAATAGTTGGGATTTACTGGCGAAACTAATTATGATACTTATATATCTATAGTATATATGCAAAAATATTTCCAAATGCAATTGTAAAACTATCGATTTATCGATAACAATCGTTGGGATTTATTGGCTAATCGATCTATAGTATTCAAATATATAGTATATATGCAAAAATATTTCCAAATGCAATTGTAAAACTATCGATAACGACTTATCGATAACAATAGTTGGGATTTATTGGCCAATCGATCTATAGTATTCAAATATATAGTATATATGCGAAATTATTTCACAACGAAATTGTGCAACTTCACTCCGATAACGATTAATCGATAACACACCTGATTTTTACAGATTGAAGACCCAGAACGGCATTGAGGTGAACAGCGTGGGCAAATTGAAGGACGACAAGACCTTTGTGGTGAGCGGCTCGTATTCGTTTACCGGAGCCGATGGCAAGCGCTACAAGACCCGCTACACGGCCGATGAGTTCGGCTACCATCCCATCACGGAGCTGGATCTGGATCTACCCGAGTAAGTGCAGCAGTTAAATTAATAGATAGATTCAATTAATAAATGAATTGCTTTGTGCAGACCTCAGCAGCTGGTGTCTGCGGGTCAGCGGCCCGCCGTGGATCCGAGCAGCCTGTTGGGCAACAAGAACCGTTTCCAGTTTCTCCAACAGAGCCTGAATCTCGAACAGGGCGGCCCGCTGCGCGGCAGCGGCCAGAGCGGCGATGACTACAGCTACAGCGGACCCGGCAGTGCCTACGGCAATGGCCTCGGCTCCGACAATGCCTACGGATCCGGCTCCGACAATGCCTACGGACCTGGCAATGGCAATCCCTATGGACCTGGCGGCGCCAGTGTCAATGGCTACGATTATCAGCCGCCGGCAGCGCCCTCGCGTCTGTATCTGCCCACGGCATAGGTGTCCAGCCCAGCCCAGCCCAGCTCCGCCCCGCCCCGCCCCGTCCTGTTCTGCCAACCGGCAACCACCCCCCTACCCCTCCCCCAAAAATAAACCCTTTGACCCTAAGCCCAAGTATTTAGTTTTAAGCGCAACCCTCCAACAGGCAATTAACAAGTAGCGAAATTTTTTTTTTTTATCATCTTTTAGTGTTATGCGTATACAATATATCCCCTGAAACCCTAATAATCCCCTACACACACACACACACACACAAACACACTTACACAAAGACAAGCCCAGACAAGACACAAATGAACATGACAATGAATCTATATATGAATATATATATGTATATACACTGAGTGATATTAGTAGTAAATAAAATGGCTAAACTAAGTTCCATTTGTGTTTATCTTAAAAAAAAAAAACAAAATAGTGTAAAAAAATGTAATTGTTTAACATTTGCTAGTGACTAAATAAGACATCCATTAAGGTTCAGCTCTTGTTAGATATATTACCTAAACCTGCTCTGTCGCCTTTGTTCTCTCGCTCAGCAGCAAAGTGAGGTTAAGTCCGCTTGCGTTCTGCACATAAAAGTTAGGTTAGATTTGCTTTGTGAAAAACTTAAGTCAAAGCTTCTAGTTAGGCGATATTCCAGTCACTATTTACTCTTCTATTCTGCATTGTTTTGCTTAACAGTTAACAGTAACAGGTTGACATCTTAAAGGAATCTTAGTGTATAGCCAAAGTACAGGCTCGGTCGCCTTGGTCTACAAGCTGCTGTTAAAGTAGCTTGTAAGTTTGCAATGAGCTTTGTATATACTTATTAAATTAGTATCTTATGCTAAATGGAGACTTAAGCGGCATGGCTGTGCAGCTTTTATGGTACATTCTAACAGCCTGGAGCATATTCATGTGTTCGCATTGTAAATTGTAGAATCGCCTAAAAGCATGCTTTGATTTACTTAGATGGCGCTTAAATTATGCTTGTGCCTGCAAGTGTGCAAGCTTATTTTGGTACAAAAAAAAGAACTAAATTGTTTTCGAATCTAGCAAAGTCGCTGCTGTCCTGGATCTAGCATCTAGCAGGCCTTTCGCTGAATACTGTTTAAATGGCAAAGATTAATAAGTAATAATTAATTGTGGATACTGTTGGCAAACTTAAATCAAATCCAGCTGGCGGATACAACTGCGCTGAGCCCTGCTCGGGCGCCTCATGGGCTGGTACAGTCGCGCCAAAAGCTTCGCTAGACCAGCGCGGACTGGCCGAGCAGCGCCTCGATGCGCTCGCGCGCCTCCACATAGGCCACCAGCACCTCCTGCAGGGTTGCGGATACGGCCGGCTTGTCGCTGTGGCCGGGCGCAGGACTGTCATCGTCATCGCTGTCCTCCGGGGCGAGCAGATGGCCGAGCGGCTGGTGGCGCTGCTGCAGCTTCTGCAGGCTGAAGAGCAGCGTTCCGGTGCTGCGCATGATGTGCCTCGAGCCCGCCTCGAGCCGGTTGTGGATCAGATTGTCGCGCGATCGACTCTTAAAGTAGCCGACAAAGTCGAACAGCGAACGGCCGCCAATGAAGTAGCGATTGAGCGCATCCAGCCAGCTGCCCATCGGTCGGATGCACTGCAGCCGCAGGCCGGCGGACGCGGCGGCGGGCAGCGGCGACAGCAGCGAGCATGCGAAATGCGCGTAGCCCTCGCAGCGTTCGCGCTGCCAGCCATCGACGCTGATCACCTCGAAGTAGATGTGCAGCAGCTGGTGCGGCTCATGGGATTCCTCGCAGAGCAGCGTCAGCTGCCAGCAGTGCGAGAAGTGCGCTAGCCGGGCGGCGCCGCCCGCCACGCTGGTGGCCGTGGCGCCACGCAACGGAAACGGATCGTTCGGATTGGCCGGCTCCAGCAGCGTATGCGAGGGCGGATTCACATAGTAGCGCACATGGATGTTCGGGTACTCGAAGTGCTGCGCCTCGTGCAGCTGGAGCAGCAGGGTGACGCGTCGCATGCGTTTCGGCGGCAGCTGGAACTGGAGCAGGCGGCGCAGCGCTGAGGCGCCGCTACGTTTCGCTTGATAGTAGCTCACCAGCTGCTCGGCGCTGGCCTCCGAGCCGGGCAGCGAGTCGGCCGGCGTGGGCAGCTGTTCCAGCAGCTGATCCGCCGGCTGCGCAGCGTTCGCAGCGCCTGCATCGATGGCAGCCAGATGAAAGCCGTAGGCGTACAGCTGGCGGCAATCGTTGTCGATCTGGAGCACATAGTCCATGTCGTCGGCGGTTGTGCTGAAGTCCGGATAGACATAGAGCAGGCCCTCGGCCGGCTGGTAGCGCAGGCTCAGCAGCAGCGTGTCCTGCTGCAGTTGCGCATAGACGAACATCAGCTGGTAGCCCTGGTCGTGCAGTTGTTGCGCCTCCGGCGGCCAGTCCGCCTGCGGCAGCTCGCGCAAATCCGCATCGATGAGCGTATGCACGAGGCAGGTGCGCGCCGCAAAATTAGGATCATCCGGCGGCGGCAACGGCTGCGTCTCCACGCTGCATTCGGATATGGCCAGCGAGGAGAGCGGCGGCGTCTTGGAGTGCGCCGATTTTCGCTTCGATTTGCGGCGCCGGCGCACACGTATCTGCTGCTCCGCCTGCTCGCGCTGCACGCGCAGCCGATGGCGCCGCTGCAGCTCGACAATGTGCCGCGTCCAGCGATGGTAGCGACGCTGCAGCGTCGTCTTGCACTGGCTGGCATCGCCGTAGCGCTCCAGCTCCCTGCGACTGAAGTGCTTCTGCTGCCAGCCAATGTACAGACTGGCCGTCGAACCGTTGCTCAGCTCCGGATTGAGTGCACTGAAGGCGGCATCCACCGGCTGCTCGCCCAGCTGCGAATGGCTGCTGCTGGGGTAAGTGCGACTGGCGGCGGCAACGATGCCGCTGCTGCTGCTGCGACTGGTGCGACTGGTGCGGCTGCTGCCCGGATAGTCGCTGCCGGGATTGTAATAGTTGTAGTAGGTATAATAGTTATTGCCGTATTGATCCTCGTACGGCACATAGATGAAACAGTCCGACCAGCCGCCGTTGCGCGGACTCTCCGGATAATGATCGCCGTAGTTAAGTTTGGCGCCCGTATATTCGAATTTTGGCACGGGCAGCCATTCGCTGACATGCCGCAGCTTCAGCTCGAGCCGCAGGTCCGCTATGTTGCCTTTGATGCGATAAATGCCCGTGCGTTTTGGTGCGCTGCTTTTGTACATTTTGCACGTGAATTGTCAAAATTATGTTTGTTTTTTTTTTTTTGGTAATTCAATTTGTTTTTAGTCGTTATGGCAACGATAGCACATGTCGATTAATCGATTGCCGCAGCTAAAAATACTGAAAGTGTGTGAGATATTTGGCATTTTTTCAAGTGGCGCGCACACGATTATTTCAAAGTTTGCTTAAAATTGATTATAGAGGCAGCTTGGGCTTTAGCTGAAAATAAATTTAATTTATGCTGCTCTTGCAAAAGCGCCTGCTTTAGCTGTAACTTTCTTAATATGCCGGCACAGGCATATATCGCTTGTCTAGCGCTAAAAAATACCAAAAGGCGCTTTAGTTGCTTGGCACATTTGTGTGTGTGTGTGTGTGTGTGTGTGTCTCGGTGAGCGCGCGCGCGTGTGTGTGCATGTGTGCGTGTCGTGTGAGCTTTTCCACTGCGCTTGCCTGCAGTGTTTTGTTTATCGCCAGTTGCCGTTTCGTGCCGTCAGTTGTTATTCTGCTGCGCTGCGTGCTGGTCGTGCATAACGCGTCTCTTCTCTGTCACGCATTTCAATTTGTTGTTAACACATTTTCGTTACGTTACGGTTCGTCTTAAGCTGTTCTCTTGTACATATTTATTTTTTTTTTTGTTTTTTGTTGTAATTTTTGTTTTGTACTGCGTTTGGCGTTTTGCGTCTTGTATTGCGCGCGCGCGCGCGCACATTGAACAAAAACAAAGCAACAAATGCAGCGGCAATAAAAAGGAACACACAAAAAAAAAAAAACAACAACAACATCAGTTTCAACTGTTTAACAATAACAATTGGCAGTTTTATCATTATTTTATGCCACTGTTCTACTTTAATTGGTAGTGAAAGTGTTTTTCTACTTTTGTTTTTTCATAACTTTTTTTTTATTGCATGTTTTCGTTTTGTTTACACATTTATTTTGGGGACTCTGTTCGTGTTTTTTAATTGCCATAAATACTATTTTTACAGCAATAAACAACAACAGCAACAAATACACAAACAACTACGACAAAATGCAGCAAAAGGCCGATGAGGTGAGTGCAAACCAAGCCAAATAGATTAAATAAATAATGCAAATCTAAAAAGTGCTGAAAAAAAAAAAACCGTTGTTGCTGCTGCCCTTAGATGTTGCTAGTGTGCTCGATGCACAATGTTGCGGCGCGCACATCCTGTGCTACATTTGTTGCTGAGCCGCAGTCAATGTTGCTGCTGCTGCCCTTAGATGTTGCTAGCGTGCTCGGCTACTTTGTTGCCGCGCACATCCTGTGCTGCATTTATTGCTGAGCCGCAGTCAATGTTGCTGCTGCTGCTGTGCATGTTGCTAGCGTCCTTGGCTACTTTGTTGCCGCGATCATCCTGTGCTACATTTGTTGCTGAACTTCATTTCTTTGACTTTGCTGTGCGTTGAACTCGCTCTGCTCTCTTTTACTGTTGTTGCTGCTGCTGCTGCTGCTGCTGCTGCTGCTGCTGCTGTTGGTGGTTCTTGTGCCGTGACGTTCCACTGACTGATTCTGGAATATCATCATGGCAACAACAACAAGCGGCCTCATTGTACACGTTTATATTTTGCTCGTTTGTTTGGTTTTTCATTTAAATTTTGTTGTCTATTCATTGTTATATTATGTTTGTTTGTTTTTTTTTTTTGGCTAACTTTTTTTTTTTTTTCTTGTTGTCCTCGCACTATTTGCACAGTTGAGCTGTTCAAATTTTGCGGCTCTGCGCGAGGCTCTCTTTTGCTGCTGCTCTCTTGAACTATTTGTTGCGTCTGCTCAAATGCTGCTGGCCTCAGTCGCAGTTGCTTTCATGTTTCATGGGCATTGTTTATAATCATTTTATTTCTCTCTCTCTCGCTCGCTTTTTTTTGGGCTGCTTTTGTGTGCAAAAGTCAAAGTCATGGCAACATTTGGCTGTTGCGCATTGTTGTTGTTGTTGTTGTTGTTGCTGTTGTTGTTGTTGCTTTTAGTGAAATTTCTTGGGGCGATTTCTTTGCCCGAAAACTTCTATTGTTTGGTTTTGGGTCTGGTGCAGCCATTTGTCAAGCCCGGGATGAGCACATAAAGATCTGTATCCACAAGTGTGCCACAAGTGTCAAGTTCGATAAACAAACTGGCGACACAGAAGTGACAGCAACAACAACCACATAAATCAACAGCTGTTTTTACAACTCATTTAGCAACAACAACAAAACATAAATTGCCTGCGCCTCAGCCAAAAAGTGTTCATGAGCCAAGTCCAAGTTCGAGACGGAACCAAAAAGTTGTCTCTGGACGGGCTCAAATGCTGCATTTAGCCTTGCTGCTGTTGCAAGTAAAAGTCGAAAAACCTGTCAAGTGGCTGGCAACATATCGCAGCAGGCGCAGGGGTCGGACCGGTGAAGGGGGGGGGGGGGTGATGGGGGGTTAGCTTTGGAGGGAGCTATCGACAGAAGATGACTGTCCATGACCCAAATAAATGAAACTTAACGAAAAATGCTATAAAAATGACAAGAGCAAGCGCGACAAAGAGACTGAAAGACTGGAAGATATGAAGTGTGTGTGGGGGTAGAGTAAGCGGGAGGGGGAGGGGGGGGGGGGTACAAATTGAGTACAAATTGTCACGAGCTGCAATAGGAGGCACACCCACATGTGCCCACATTAAACAAACTCTGGGCAAATTTTGTTGAACAGAGTTGCCAGATTTTGTGTGCACAAAAAGTTGTAGAGTTGCCACTGAAGGCTGGCAGAAAACTTTGAGTGGGTGTCAAAGAATTTCAGTTCTTTCTCAATTGGTTCCTTCACAATCTTTGGAGCGAGCCGTTGGCACTTGTAAAGTTTTCAATTTTTTCCCTAAATTCTTGAACCTTTACTTTTGCAAGCTAAAACCTTTATGAATCAAGCTATCTCGGGCGGAAAATGTCTAAAGTTGGAATAAAACTTGCACCGAGCAAAGCCGGGCAAAATGAGCTAGTTTCATATATTATTGCTATTTTACAAGCGTGTATTCCCCCAGCACAGCCCGTGTCTAAATGTTTTAGATATACATTTTTCCTCAGGTCAAAGTCCATCGCAACAAGAGCCAAAGTATTTATCAAACTTTTCCAGCCGTTTTGGTCTTATGCAGAGAATCTTCAAGCCAAAAAATAAACTTTTGAAAAACGTTGGATTTTCATAAATGAAATATAAGTTCGACTCTAGAGTGTATTATATTGTTTCTTTTTCGCCCCCCATTTATTCTCAAGCTCAATTAACTTGCCCTGCCTTAAGTTTTTTCCCAGCACTTTTTTGTTCTTTGATATTATTTTTGCCTTTAGAAAAAAGTTCCTAACTCACGTGAATTTGCGTTTGTTTTATGGCTGCTGTCAAAAACCGGTTAGAATTTGTTGTATTTGTATTTCTTCCTATTTTTTATTTAGTTTTTTTTTTTTTTTTGTTTATTATTGTTGCGGGTTGTTGAGTTTTCGCTTTCAGACGGCGACAAATTTTTTGACCAGTCGAAGTGAATTTTCTCGTTTCGCGCAGCCGTTTTCGCTGCCCGCCAATCGAAAGTAAAAATGACCAAAAAACAAAAAAAAAAAACAAGAAAAAAAACCGGTCAAGCAAATTGATGCAAATGCAGATGCAAATGCTGATGCAGATGCTGATGCGGATGCAAAAGCGAAGCTCAGCCGCGGCTCAGTCCGATAAGTGGCCATTAAAGTCATTATTTTTCGATTGTGGCTGCAAAATTATTTTCAAAATGTAAATTGAATTTTATCAAAAAAAAAAAAAAAAAAAATTTATAAACAAAAAAGAAGATTTAATGCGCAATCATCGCAGAGGCCATAATTAAGGCTAAACACCAGGCAAGTAGATAACGCATGAGAAGCGCGGGGAGAGGCGCTTCGGCTACCTGCTCTTGTTAGCCACAGAAGAAGAAGAAGAAGAAGAAGAAGAAGGCACAGAAAACTATTTGAAGATGGCTGCGGCGGTAATCAAAGCCCAAATCCGAGTCCCAAAACTCTGGCCCCGAAAGCGCCTCGTCGCAGAGCCAAAGGCGTATCGGACCAAAGAACTCAACTGTAATTACGTCTGGAGTAGGCAGCTTGTAGAGGATACGGGGGCAAGCCAGGGGGAGGGGGGGGGGGGTGGATTGAAGCAACAACAAACAACAAACAGAGACAAATGAAAAACGCAAACAAGAAAAACAAACAAAAAATGCGCCAAACTCGAAACTTGTCGCTGGCGATCGTCGAGCGAGCAAAGCGTTGAGTGTGTGGTAAGGGGGCGAGGGCGAGGGCGAGGAGCAGTGACTGGAAGGAGAGAGGGGTGCATAATGGGGAGTACAACCTGGGAGAAGGTGGAGGTCAATGCCTGGTTCAATGACACTTGACCCTTGCGAGATATTGTTTGTTGAGACAGAGAGCGAGAGAGAGCGAGAGAGTGTGCCATGTCTGAGAGTAGAACTGGAGCAGCAAAAAGTGCAAAAAGGAAGCTGCGAATAAATATCCAAAGCTTGTTTTAAAATCAACTGAGTTCGAGACAATCCGAACTGGAACTCAGTTAAATCGAGTTAAGAGCCAAAGCTAAGCAATTGAATTCTTGAATAATAACAAACTTTAAGGCAGTTATACTTAAGATTTGCATCTATAGAAAAATGAATACAAATACGAGAAAGTCCCATAGAGTTATATAGTATTCAGATCTTGTTACGTTTTGTTCCATATGCAAGCAGCATACTTTTAATTGTGACTGTCGAGTTTAGGCAAGATATCTTGGACTTGGCTATATCAACCCGGCTGTTGATGCTGGTCTAGAATAGATATTGATTACTAAAACACAAATATGATAAACTGAAGGCAAATATAGTCAAGCATTAAAGCTTATCTGTTAAGCAGGATATTAGAAATAGAAATATTTTCTTTTTGTGATAAAGCCCCAAACAAAATTCCCAGACTAAGAAAGAGTCGAAAACTGAGGCAAAGGTATTTTAGTTTTGCAAGTTACTGCAAATCCAGTAAATCCCCTAGGCGATGGGAACTCGGTTAAATAGGCTGAAAAATGCTGCCTATTGAGTTGTGGTAAATACGTACAGCTCTTGGTTCTTCCCGGAAAATATGAGGCCCACTTTCGACAGCAGTTCGCTTGCAACGAGATCGTTAACAACGGCAAATATAACTTAAGGTGATGC